ACTTCCAAATGAGCTGGCTCCTGATGCCCCCAGCCTTTCTTTTGCCTCGCATCGGACACAAAGTGCCTTTGCAGCTGGGCACAGACTGGTCCAGTTGAACCAGCGTGAGCCCAAAGCATTTGAAGGTAAATCTCTGTTCAGTGCTGTAGGACCTTGTCAGCTGCTCGAGGTTTAGCTTACTACACAGCAAATAGACATATTTCTCCTGTGATACTTGTATTTACTTTCATTTTAAGGTAGGAAATACATTTTTTAGCTGTGTCACTGGCAACTTTCATTAACGCTCCTTGTTGAACAGTAGCTTTTTCATCTTTGTGCTTTACTAACGTTGTAGAATTAAATGGGTTTTTCTGTCTTTTTGATTGTATCCTGATATTCCTTCATGTTTTGATCTCTGTGTAGTGCATATAGACTGGAAATTCCTTGAGGTACAGACTGCCAGGGAAGGAGGGTGTATGGGGGTGTATTTTTTCTTTAGAGGGTGCCTACTGTGGCAGAGCCCCACATACTGAGGTACTGTGAAATAATAGTAATAGAATTATTATTATTATTATTATTATTATTATTATTATTATTATTATTATTATTATTATTGTTATTGTTATTATTATTACTATTATATTTCTTCCCCATTACCTTTGTAATACGCAGAAAACTCATTTTTGTTTAAAGCGTATTGTGAACTCTAGGAAGAGAGGGAAATAGCAACCTAAAGACACAGCAAATGGCCCGAAGTACTAATACATTACTGACTTTATACAGCAACTTTTCCTTAATCCGATCACTGGTTAATTTAATCCTGTTTCCTTTGATTGGATCCCTTGGAACCAAATAATTTGTATTGTGTTTTAGTCTGGTATTTCTGATCATTGTCTTTGTTAATTTGATCAGGATTGATTGAAGCAGTCATTGAAAGTAAATAATATAATTAATCAAATGCAGCATTAGAAAAGCAGGCCCTCAGTGAGTCTTAGCTTTTACCTCTTGTTTTTCTTCCCCAGTATATGAAGCTTGGATTACTTGTAGAAAAAGAAAATGAACCTTCTTATAGCATCCACAGCTCAGTAATAGAAAGAGATACAGATGCATCTATGTACATATGCTTATTTAATTGTGAATAGAATAGAATAGAATAGAATAGAATAGAATAGAATAGAATAGAATAGAATAGAATAGAATAGAATAGAATAGAAGTCGTTCAGTGGGAAGGGACCTACAGTTATCATTCAGTCCAACTTCATATCTCCTCTCAAATCATCTAAATGACACAAATTCTGAGTGACCTTTTCTGAGACAGCCATGTTTGGTGGAAGATCTTGCTTAATGGCTCAACTCCTTGCTAACTCCGTGATTTTAAGAAACTCAACACGTGATCTATGTTTGAATTTGAACCATCACTAAACATAAAAAACAAGATATGCCTTTATGTGCTTTGTTCTAATAACATCTGGATAATCTGCTACAGTCAGTGTTATTGTCTGATGCTAACAGTCACTCCAAAAACTGTGGTATGGGTGGAAGGGAGATTCTGGATTCTCAACAAAGATAATTTCCACCTGTTGTGTGAAAGCATGCCTATTGGGTTTTTTTCAGAGTAGGTGTGTGGTCCCAGTTTGCTTCTTCTTTCACTCTGATCAATAGCTGTGACCGAAGTTGGTCATTTTGATCTGCACTGTTAGGTATTTATAGATTTGTGTTCTAACTGAAGCTTTATTACAAGAAACCAAGGCTCAGTTTGTATTCTGGAGGCAATGGTTGTACAAGAACAGCTAGAACTCCCCTTGCTCTTCTGAAAACCACAGCAAATTCAGCAGGGCACACGCCTGCTCTAAAGGGGTTTTACCTGCAAGGACCCCAGGCTGGCCTTCCTGGCAGTCCATCCAGGGGAATACAAGGGCACTGTCTGCCCTGCACCCATCCTAGCAGGAATAGCAGCTTCTGATGGACCATGACCTGCAACAGTGGAGGAGGAGAATTAGGAAGATCAGATAACAATTTGCTCTTGTAGGTGAGGTATCCCTACCAAAGGTCATTTAATTTTAGCTTGTCCTTCCCTGCATGGCTTACAGAACTAACCTGTGTTATTTAGTGCTCACAATAACCCTTCTCTCTCTCTCCTCGTCACCTTGACATTTCTTGAGTGGGAGATTATTTTTAGAGGTGACTTACTTTGTGTTAACTTCCTGGGAGCAAAGAGAGTGTGAGGTTTTATGCTTTTTGTAACATGAATTTTCTTTTAAGGATACATAACAGGGGATTTTCAAAACCAGAAAAGAATTTGGCCTAACTCGCATCCTTGCTGGATTTCCTCTTCTTAATCAGTCCAGTGGCTCAAACTGGATGCCTAGAAGAATTTAGTCTCAAAAGAATAAAAAGTAAAGGAATGTAAATCAATGAAGGAAGTGTAAGTAGAGCTTAATCTTGATGGTATCCATTTATCCTTGGATGACAAAGGAGTGTTTAGCATCACAAGTTGCTAAAGAATCATCTGATTCACACCCAAAATGAGAATGAGGTGTCTGGAAAAAATGTGCGGCAATGTAGTGCAATTCTGACAAGTGTACCAGTAACGCTAGACCAAGCTATACCATTATCAGTTTTGCTTTAAATCATGTGGCTGTGGACAGCAAAGTATGTCTAATAGCCATTTGGTAGATTTATATCTTGGAATGCAATGTGTTTGCCATAAATCTTTTAGAAGGATGGTGGTTGAGGCACCTAAGGCAGTCATGCTAGTCCACGAATCTGTTCTGCTGAAAGAAAACAGGAGAACTGGGCAGCTTCCTATTGGTGTCATGGAGATACAGAAACAAAACAGCAGGAATGCTTTGATGTAAAACCTACAGAGCAGAAGAATTGGAGAGAACAGTGACTGTGTTTCCAGTAAAACCATATATTAGCAGTCTCTTGTAAATCAAATTAAATGACTGCCTCACTGCCTGATCCTGCACTGAAGTTCTTGTGTTATTAAAGCTCTGAACCTGAATGGAAGCAGGGTTGTATCTTGAGATCTCATTCCCAAAAAGCATCTGCCAGTCACGTCTGGTCAAAACAGCTTTGGGAATGTTTACCTTCTTTTAGGAACCAATGGGATATTGATGGGTTTGAGCTAGTTTTGCACAAACTTGTTTGAATCTTAAAGGACATTTTTATCTGTCTGCACAGAGGAAAAGGTTTTTATAGCAGAGGAAAAAAGGTTTTAATAAGAGTCATTGAGATCCGTGATTTTGGGTTAAAAGGGAATGCAGTATATTTTTGTAGTATTTTTCACTGTGAAATACATTCGTGTTTCTTCTACAAAACCAAAAACTTTAGCAAGACCAGAGCAATTACAGGAATACCCAGATTTTAGATTTTATCTTGGATGTAGAAAAAGGGATGGATTATTAAAGTATATAGTGTCTGAGAGAAATAGCACTCTAATGCTGTTTTTCACATCTTAATTTTAGTGACTGCATAACCTACCTTCATAAGATGCTCTTAATTGACTATTTCAATAGAATTTGAATAAAGTCTAATATATCTGGGATTCCTCCTCCACTTCTTAAAATCTGATGTGAAATTTATTAGTCTTAATGTACATATCCCAGAGCTAATTGTTTTATCTTGTAAATCAGTTTCTCATCTTTTTTATGGCTTTTACTTTCAGATATAAAAAATTAAAGAAATTCTTGATTGAAAAGTCGTTTTTGTTCCGCAGTAGCAAAAGGGGGAGGGGTCAGTTTTGTAAGTGCAAAAGGATTTTTAGGGTTTTTTTAGTTATTTACAAATGCTGAATTAAAGGACACCAGAGTTTAAATTATACATTAAATTAGCATGTTACTGACAAGTTGAATTTTTTAAATTGCTGTGATCCAAATTCAGCCACAATTTAATAGCTTAATTGGCGCTGATGAACTTAAGGCAGTGATAAACCCCAACCTATAGGCTTATTTTTCTTTTTGCTGTGAAAGGTAAGCATGCTGCTTCTACAGTACTGTCTGTCCTTTTGTTTGAGAGTTGACTGAGTATACTTTGATCCTTTTTTTAGAAAAAGAATTCTCTGTTCTCCCTTAAAGAAAGCTTCCTGAGACCTGGATCAGATTATGGAAACTAAAGTGAGCACACAAAAGTGCTTGTTAGAAAGTGAAATATATGTGCAAACTAAATGTGCCCTTGATGATAGCCTTATTGATCAAGCCAAGTTAATAAATCACTAATATCACGCAGCACTGTTCAACACTCACAGGCTTATATTGGTTTTCTTTTTTTTTCCCTTTCTTTTTATGTGCCTGCTGTGTAGGCAGAGAACATGCACTTTCCTGCCACGGACTGTGTACTACAATTGAAATACTGAGTTCAGAGGGCTTGAATGTAAAATGTCGGCATCCAATACAAGAAAAAAGAACTTTTATAGCAGTAACTTACTGCTGGGATTGGAGCATTTTACTTCTTAAGTATTCCTCTCTTTCTTTCTAATGCTTCAGGCCCTCATCCAGATTGAAATTTGGGGTCCTGTTTGGATAATTAAAAGAATTCCATGGGAAATTTGGCATGAAAATGCCATATGGAGTGACTTCTGAACCTAGCAATGGCCAGCATTTGCATTCAAGATAAATGTTTAGTTTTCAAGAAGTCTGCCTTTAGGTTGTTCTTCAGCAGCTTTGCCAGTACATAAGGGCAACATCCTTTGTGTACCCTTGGGATTCTGGTCTGACAAGCACTTACTCCATTATTGCCCATATTTCCTTAAGCCCTCTGACAAAAAGCACTTATGATGAACTGGATTTATCTGCCCGTGCCATGGGATGCCTGCAGGATCTCTGAGAGCCCTCTTGGGTTGCGCAGTGCATGTTCTCTGTAGCTGCCGCGTTGTTCCCGATGCCGCGCGTTTTCTCCTCCGTCGTGAGATGATTTTGCATTCGTAGCTTTGCTCTGATTTGGGGTTGATCTGCATGCAGACCGTGTTAGCAGAGGAGGTTCTGCTCAGGCTAAAGTGGGGCTTCTGTGCTCGAACCCAGTGTCGTGCGCTGATGTCCCTGGTGTCCTGGAGCAGCAAGTGTCGCAGCCGGGACCTTGGTTCGATACCTCAGCTCCGTTCCCTGATGTTCTCGCTGAGAAATGAAGGCGGCTGGGTGAGTACCTGAGCCTCTGCTGGTGCAATTTGCCAAGACAGAATACAAAGTAGCATTTATGAAGCTCTTGTCATTTCATGGTCCTGCATTCATTCCTAGCTAATGACTGGAGCACTGGTGTGAGAGCGGTGGTTGTACTGGGCAGTCAGCCACCAGAGAGAAATAGACGCCACCTGTGATCAATTCACAACCCTTTTCTATCCCATCTTTCTCTGTTCTTTTCCATAATCTCATTCCTTCTCTTTCCTTCACAAACCTACAGGTAATGTGGATGGTGAGCCTTAGAAAAGATTGATGAGACAGAAGAAGTTAACCCTTTCCCAGTATGGAGTTACCTTCCATTGCATTATCAAAACTAGGGAGTTTAGGCTTTCTTGTTTATCAGCATAGCCAAGGCTCAATCTAGGAAAGCTGGGGTTGATTTTGGTGGTGGGAAGAAGCTGGACATGCTCATAAAGGTGCCTTCTTATCAACTCACAAACTGAGTGGTGAGAAGCTGTGCTCTGGATGGAGCCAGGATTGGGACTGGGTAAAAGTACTGATGCTGTGCTGGTCTGGAACTCCTGTGAATATGTGGAAAGCACCTCACTCAAGGGAGAAGCAGCAATATGTTTTGTTAGTGCAGTAAATTCAGTGGAATTTAACAAAGCTTAACAGTGGTTTACAAAGGTTAAGTAAGTTTGATGGTGAGGTTCACCTTATTAATTAATGTATGGAAGAAGGGCACAAATGCAAACGGAGTTAGAATCAAGTTAGAATGTTTTACAAGAGACTGGAGATGCAAAATGGTAAGGAAGACTCTCCTGATGAGTCATGAGGTACAGTGGTAGAATTTAGGTGCTGCCAGGTCCAGTCTGAGTCTCAAAGGTCTATATCTAATGAAAGAAATACAGAGAGTGATGAAGAGCCTTCTCTTGAGTCACAAAGTTCAGAGTGGACCCGCTTGCATTCTGAACTCATTATGGAGCCTTGGTGCAGTTAGGTCCAATCAGGGTTTCAGACTTGGACAAGGGATCATCTAATGAAATGATCTATAATAAGTTGATAATAATTAATATTGAATAGCTACATGAATTAGTAATGTTTCATTAGTATTAATTTAGGTTCCTGATAGATCTGCCATTGGTTAAAGGTCTTGCTGTCTCAAGGAGCCTTCTTGAGAGTTGTCCCAGCTCAAGGAAGGATCACTGCCTTGTAATCAGGCTCCCTGGCCAGAAGAGCTCAAGAAGGTTCACTTAGGCTGCCATATTTCTGGCATAAAGTGATTGGGTTATAGTCTAATTGCATGTGATGGAAAAGATATGCATGACTCTCCTTGTACCCACAAATTTCTTTGCTCCTTCATTAATGAGTCTTGGAAAAGCCACCGGCTATTCATGTGTTAATCATATGATCAGTGTTGCAAGCTCATATGCATTGATGCTCACTGTGTCACTGTTTCCTTCACGGTTTTTCAGAGAACAAGTTGAAAATAGAGAAGTTCTTGGCCTGGACACGGATCAGACCTTTACTTCCTTTGCAGCCTCTACCAAGCTACCACAGTTTGGTTAAGAGGTGGCGTGCATCCGTCACAGGGATGTGGGCCTGCTGCACTCATGGGTTTTTCCAAGCCTGTGTCATTAGCCTGGAGGTGGGGAGTGTTTTTAAATCCTCTGCAAAGCAAGGACTTTACCCCACTGCTGAGCCATGTGTCTCTAAAGGCTGTGACATGGTGCTCTGGAGCTCGCCCTGACTGGTAGCTCCTCGCTGAATGCTGTTTAAGGAATTTAAGTATTGAATTATTCTGTCTGCTCAAGAGGGAACTTATGCTTCTGTTGTCTTTTATGCAGGGTAGTAACATTTTTCCTATGAGTTAACTGTATTACTCTCTTTCTTGCGGCTCCCACATTAGTTTTGGGAAGAGAAAAACAATGCTGTGTCATCGCAGAATTGCCTGGTGATGGGAACTGTAAGGTAGATGAGTTCTTCTCTCCACCCATGAGCAAGTCCTTGAATGAGGTTTTACTGCAGGACTGTTCTTTCTGTTCCTCTTACACGCTGGCTTGTCAATATCTCTTAGGTTTTTAATATGTTACAGTACATCCGTCTCTTAAAACAACAGTTAATTTCTGTAGCCCAGCCACACAGCCAGTGCTAGGGAGATATTGCTGTCAGCACTGCATCTTTAAAAGCTCTGCTTCCATCCTTAAGAGCTACTTTGGCCATGGACTAAACTCAGAAATATACTTGGGTCCTGTCCAGCGCCATGTAGGAATTTGCTCCATATGAAGATTTATCCCTGTATGGTTCAGACTTTACATACATACCTACAAATAATATCGGTTTCATGCAATATTTAACAGTGTGAACTACAAATTAGGCCATAAACTCTTTGGTGCAGAGACCACTAAACTTTTTAGAGCATCAGACACATTCAGACTTCAAACCCAACCAGGGCCACCAGTCATTACCAGATAGAGGCACAGAGAGCAGCTTTAAAAGGAATTCCCTCATTAAACTAAAGTTGCTTTTACCCATGACAGGCCATAAAACGTGAATCTGTGGGAGGGAATGTTTGCCTCTGTGCATGCATGCATTTTAGCCTTTTTATTTTCAATGGGAAGAGAAATAGACTGAGTTGCGTATTGGATACATTATCTTGGTATTAAGCTGCCATTCCCAATCTCTTTTGGAAAATTGGAACAGAGATTTGCTACTTCTCATCCATCACTTTAAATGAAGGCCTTATTAAAACAATTTTGATTGCCGGGAATCACAAATAGTATCCCTCTTTCCAGATTAGTTCTTTTTCTTCATGAAACTGTTCTTCTGAGCCATAGCAGGATGTATGTCAGTGGTTCCACAAGCTCTGGGGAATTTGCTCAAATGTGTTTATAAGGCCCTTCCAGGAGGTACTTGGCGGTGTTGAGCCTGGGGAAGATTGTATTGGAATTTTTGTTGTTGGATTTTTGTGTTTGCTTTGTTGGTTTTTTTAAATCGACTAACATACTCTTTGATGCTGTTAGTAGTACAGTAGGTTTTATGTTTCCATTGACATAAAAAAGGTTTACTAAAAGTTTAGCTCTTATTTCATTACAGATTTGTAAAGGTTAGGACTTAAACTCAGCCTTAGTTGTAGCTGTGTCTCCTCAATGCCTGAGAGTAGCCACATACAGCCATGATGCTGTATAGACCAAATCACTAATTCCTAATCTTTAGCACCAGCTGATAGCTGTGAACTTATGAACTTTCTTGTGGATATTCTGAAAAGCCCCATGAAGCTGAAGGTTTTAATGTTTTAATATAATAAGGTTCAGTGGACCAGCTGTACAACAATTACTGTTGCCTATGGGCCATGGTTTATGACTGCGTGAGCTGCAAAAAATTGACAGTCTGGCAACTTGTCTGTGTTAGTCTCATGTAATTCCGGAATTGTTCTGTCTTGCTCTCTTCTGCCTGTACATCTGTATTGCAATTAATTTCCTTAAAACTGGGAGACTGCTCCCTTCTGTAGTTCAAAGTGGCAGGTGGTGAAATGCAGACTTCAGCTGAACATTTTTATTGGTCCTTAATGGTGGCTTCAAACTAAAAAGGGAAAAAATCCTGAGATTTTATTTTGGGATACTCTGTCCATGACAAAGAGCACAAATTGAATATTTTACAGGTGCTAGAAAGATGCTGATGATTCCTTGAGTAGTCTTTGTGGTCTGCCAGGAATTTCAGGCAATTAACTAGCCAGTGCTGCTGTTGACTAGCCAGGCTTTAACAGACCTTTTAGAAACCTTTTGGTCTTTTCATGTAAATAGACTTTTGGCAGGGATGTATACCCAGTAGATTTTGTAATGCATTTCCTTTTTTCATGTGTTCCATGTTTAATTCAAACAAGCATCTGACATAAAAGCTAAAGATAAAAGTGTAACATAGTACAATTAGTTTCTGTGAAGTCTGTGGATCACTAATGGAACACAGCTCTTCCCCCTGCACAACTAGCATAATACAGGCCATTTTTTGGTCATTTGTGTTGTACATTAAAAGCATCAAATAGAGCGCTGTCGTGGGCCTAAGCGAATGGACAGAAAGTTCCTTTGTTTGATAACGCTGGAAATAATTTCACTTTCCAGAGACGCAAATGGGTAATTGCTGCAATCAGATCAGAGACATGTAACACTTGTAATGTAACCCTTCATGTATTAAGAAAAATAAAGCAGAAATTAGATCAGAGACCAGAAGTATGTATACATTTTAAAAGGAAGTTCAGTGAGCTGTTACTCTCTTTCCACCACCATTACTGTCTGTGTTTCATGGATGTGTGTTGTGATTCCATACCAACTGATCTCTGGCACTTTCCGATCAAACAAAGACAAGTTCAGGAGTACAGTTTGAAAGCAACCTACTGGACTTGTGTGTTTAAATCCACTGAGCCTCTAGAAGCAGGGTTTGTAGCATATTTGATGAAATAAAATTGGGCATTTAGTGAAAGTAAAGGAGAAGCATTTATTGATAGCAAACCTCATAACCTCCTTCCTCTTTTTTAATGCTCTAAGCATGGAATTTAGATCTAGATTTGGCCGCAGACTCTACCACTTTCATATGTGTCTGGTATGGTGCTCTAGGGTTTTTGGAAAACAAGTTTCAAAATAAGCAACTGGATTTTTGTAGGATTTAGCAGAGCTGTACTTCCTTCTTTACCCATTCTGGACAAAACATACAGGTTCTTTTAAAGTTGTAGCATGTGTGTTATTCTGCATTATTTAAGATAGAGGAATATATTTTTTTTCGCATTTTAGGTCAACGCTGTTTTAAAGCAGCCTGGGAATGTAACAAAATTAAACAAGATGCTGTCTGTCTTGACAATGGCTCACAATATTGATAAGTGTATATTTCAAACCCACTGGTAAGACCCAGTTCATACAACAAAGAAATGCAACACACAGATGCCATAGGTGGAACACACAGGGCGTGATTTGAGTCATGAATCCTCCTTTTGGTTCCTAAAAATGCCCATTTCTCTACATTGCATTTACATTTTTTAAAGCTTCGCTTTAGAATAAATATCAATACTTCTGGGGGGGAAGTATTTTAGCTGATATATAGGCAGAGAATGGTGGTGGTCTTTTATTTATTTATTTATTTGTTTATTTGCCTATGCAGAGTGCTTTGGCTGCTGTTAAACAGTTTAGCTAGACTCAAAGAAATACTGCTAACATGAACTGGTAAACCACCAGCAGTGTTATATCCTCTTGTGTCAAAGACCTTGTACAATGTAAAAGCTAAAGGTATTCAGATTAATCATTTTCTCAGGACAATTTATAAATAGAAAGCATTTCAAAACTGAGACTTATTTCTTCCCGTCCTGCCCTTTCTTCACCATGAATAGACCTTTAAGAGTTCTTAAAGCTCTTGACTGTCTGCATGTCCTCTCGTTGTGTCTTTTCTGACTCATTTTTATTTCAATTGCAAAAGTTATATAGGTAGTCAAAATGGTGGGGACAGAGGTAAATGTGACTCTAAAACCAAAAGTCATTGTCCTTGGTGCAAATAAAATAGAAAAAAAATCCAGAGAAATTACATTTAAAAGCCAAAAAAACACAACCCCTATAACTATTAAAAAGAATAAATTGATGAGTTTTGAAAAAAACAATCATAGGAAAAAACATATTAAGAATCACATTTCCCTGTGAACCTCTGCATTTAACAAAGCACAGCATTTCTAGTGAGGGAAATATTCCTATTGTGGCTTCTGGGAGCAAAGAGAGCAGCACAGCAAAACCTGTCTCCTCTATGAAGGTCTGCACGCACAAATCCAGACTCCAGGAGCCCACCAAGAATAAAGCTCAGGTAGAAAAGGGAGTGGGCAGGAGAGATCAGGGGCTCTTGGGTGAAGGGGGGAGCACTGGGGCAGGGCAGGTGCTAGTGGGAGTGCTGGTGGGGAAGAAGGGCAGGCAGGAGGAAGCAGGTGCCTCTGGTGGATTTGAAGACGGGAGGAATGACTGATTGGCTTAGGGAAGGTGTGCATGAATTTGCAGAGGGCATAAATGGGTTTGCTAATGACTTCCTTTCATGGGCTGATTGAGGTACTGGTGATGGGTGAACAGGCTGCTGGTGTTGACAGAGATTTCATTGGTACAGTGACCCAGGGCATTTATGGAGCTGCTGTACCCCCATCTCTGAGCTAAATTACTTCCCAGATGTGAGGCAAACAAGCAATCACTCAGACGGGTCTCCTGTTCTTTATGGCTCCACTCTTCAGTACTCATTCAGCAATAGGCAGCTGGTTCTGTTTGCTTGGTTTAGAGGTTCTGACACCAGTAAAAACAAAACAAAACAAAAAACTTTTAATCTTCCAGCAATGAAATACACAGCAGACTTAAATAAATGAGACCTGTTGGAGCACCCTTGTTTTCTACAAGCCTTTTTTCAGCAAAGGCATGATTGTTTGGGAAGGTCCCCTAAAATTGCAGCAGGGGTCTGGTGTAGCATTTAAATCCATGTGATAGTTTCTCATCAAGAGATCTCTTTCAGGTCTTGTCTGCTTTGATGGTTATTCAGCTCAAATCCTTCCCCTACTTTACAGTTTTTTTAACCTCTCTGAAGACCTGCCAACAGACCCACTTTAGCAGCCACTGATGTTATGCTTTTTTTTATTGGCATTCAATTTCAAGGGTTGACAGACAGTAAATACCAAGACTTCTCTTTACTGTTCTACAGTAATTTGTCCTACAGTTGTAAATAAGTCTCTCTTGTTCTGCCTCCTGCTAAACAAATCTCACTATTTTTGGAAGAAATTGAGCAAACAGAAGATTGTTCCATTTTATGTAGCTGCCACTGAGTAGATATTACCATATCTGGGTTGTTTGTTGGGGTTTTTTTTCATTTCTATGGCAAATGAAGTGACTTATTTCTGAAAATACTAGTTTGTTGTGGATTTTTAAGGTAGATCTATTAAATTCCCAAAAGCATTTTCTTTTTTCAAATATTGTATTTCCATAGAGACATCTCATGCAAGCCAGGAGGACAATCACAGAATCACAGCACTGTTAGGGTTGGAAGGGAGATCTTGTAGTCCTAACCCCAAATGAATGATATTTAAAGATCTTAGGACTATAACAAACAAGGAACCATAATTAATCCCAATAGCCAAAACATTTTTATTCTGTATTTTTCTTTCTCTCTGGTAGACACCTTGCATTTCCAAGACTGAAAATCAGCCTCAAGGACTTGCAACAAGCGTCAGGTGGGGACAGACACCCATCAATCAGTCCACGCCCTGGGACACTGATGAACCTCCATCTAAACAGATGAGGGAGAATGAAAACCCAGGTATGTCTCTAATCTTATTTGTAATTCTACCAGGGGAAAATCGTTCAAAGCAAATTCAATGCACTATCTCCATTTACCTCTGTAAATTAGACTTCATTGTGAGTCCTTTTTTTATTCTTTAGCAGGGGTTTTCCCTCATTGTAAAGACCCCTCAAGTTTCTTCTATGCTGGGGCTGATACAAATGTATTAAGATGCTGCAAGTTCATTAGAACAGGGGTTTTTTTTATCCTTTCTGCCTTCACTGGAGGGGAAGGCACTCTGTAATACTTTAAGACTTCTTTTATGTCCAGAACTACCTGAAATGATTTCCAGCTTCCAGACACATATCATACATTGTGCTACTATGCCAGACGCCTAATTACAATGTCTTTGTAGTGGCTGGAGCACCATTATTATACACACAGAGTGTTTGTCAGGGAGCCGTGAAAGCGCAGCGGGGAAAGAGGTTAATTTTCTTGGAAGCGTGTGCTTAAGCTGCATAAAGTGCAAAATACATAAAACCGCAAACATGCCGCATGTCACCTGACGAGTATTTTAACAATTGTGCTCACATCGCTGCAGCAATTTTAAGCACTTACTGCTTGGGAACGGCTCCAGATCCCAAACTGCATTGGTATTGTGCAGCAGGGCGTGTCGGTGCCATCCAGGGGTGCGGGAGGGGAAGGATGGGGATGTTGATGTCTGCTCTCCCCCATGCCGAGCCCACCACCATTGCTGGCCTTCCTTCATGCCGCAGGTGCAGCACCCTGGGTCACCACGGTGGCAGCGGGCAGCCAGCCCGCCCTCATCACGCACTCCTACGGGATGACACAGCCGCCCACCTTCAGCCCGGCCGCCAACGTCCAGGCCCCTGTCATCGGCGTCACGCCCTCCCTGCCGCCGCACGTCACCCCACAGCTCCCACTGATGCCGGGCCACTACCAGCTCCAGCCGCAGCCCTCCCAGCCCCTCAGCAACATGGTGGTCAACCTCCAGAGCCAGCCCTTGTACACCAACAGCCAGCCCCTCAGCATGTCCTCCATGAGCGGCGTGGGCCCAGTGGCCCACCCGGGCCCCGGGGCGGTGGGCAATGGCCACCTGGCCTGCCCCATGCTGCCGCCGCCGCCGCCGGCCCTGCCCCCGGCCGCCCTGCCCAGCAGCGCGCCCGCCACCAACGGGCAGGCGGCCGCCCCGCTGCCCCCCAGCGCGGCCGCGGTGGGCGGCCCGGACAACACCAACGGGGTGCAGATGTTGCGGACGATCGGCGTGGGGAAGTACGAGTTCACGGACCCCTGGCACCCCAAAGGTAAGGCGGGCCCGCTCGGGTCCCTCAGGCGCGCGGCGGGGGCAGGCGGCGACCGACCCTCGGCATCCCTGCCGCTCTCCGTGGGCCCGCCAGCTACGGCGGCTGCCTACGCGCTTTTCTAAAATGCAGAGCTTTTGTGAGGTACTGACGACAAAAAGCAGCGTGGTAACAGGAGGTACGACAGGCTGTGGGTGCAAAGTGGTGAAAAGCAGCTTTCAGGCCCATCAGATAAGCTGGTGTTCCCAAGGGTAAAGCAGCCATCGTCCCATGCCTCTCCCTGTGAAATACACCCCACATTTCCATCTGACCACTGTTCTCCTGGCTGCAGTTGTGCGTCTGCCACAACAATGACCTCCTTCTTCAGCCCTGGTCTTCTCCCCACTCTGGTAGGAACTCAGGCCCAGCACAAGTCAAAGCTGACTGCAGCTGAACAGCCCAACATGTTCAGCGTTAAGGGGAAAACTCTTCATTACCAGCTTCACTGGGCTCAAATGCTGCAAAACACATGACTGAATAGTCATGAGCGTTCTGAGAGGCTGACCTTTTCTGAGGAGTACTCTGTAAATGAGCCCCTCTACCAGGTCACAGTGGAGTGCTATTTCCGAGTGTCTTACTCCAGACACTTCAAAACTACCAACACTCTGTGTTCCAAGTTTCTAATTGCGTTTGGAGAGTTTTCCCTTCCTCCCTTACAAATCACGACTGGGCCACATGTACAGGTAAAGCAAAATGGAGCTTACAAAAATATTAATGCAGACCTATCAGCAAAATCAATTAAATTGATTTTGTAAAAAACCAGCACCTTCATTAAGTCTGTGATATTTTATGTATGCATTTTTATTCAGACACAATCCATGTGTAAATTATTTATTTGCCACAAGCTATTAAGTTCTGTTGTGTAGCTCTGAATTAAAGACAAGGAATCTCTATTAAAAATGATTAGTCCAATAACTCTCACTGCTCTTTACATAAATTGTTCTTTGGTATGTGTAAACCCTTACCAAAGTTCCCTTGAAAAGGAGCTCAGACACAATCTCAGCAGTACTTTTGTAAAACTGGATATTCAGATTGCTTTTAAGTTTCCAACTCCAGACCCCAAATATGATGAGGGCTCTTGCTGGATGATGAGCTTCTGAATTTTTCTTTGAGTTCTCTCTAGATGTGCTTTAAATGTCACTGGCCCAGTTAAGTAGCCAAAAATTAACCAACAATTACAAGAGTATTGTTAATTCTTTCCCTTTAAAAAAAAAAAAAAAAAAAAGCCCAAAGTCCACAAAAGCAATTTGTCAGGTCACGTTTATAAGTTACAAACCATTGATTTTGTAGAAGGAGAAAGCGGACAGATTTCTACTCCATCCTGGTAGACTGAGTTCTGCTGGATGTCTCTCTCCTCCATAGGAGCTATTTGTCTTCTAAGAGACATCATCTCCACTTCCCATAGTCACCTATCCCAATTTTCTGCACTGGGTACTCAGATGCATGATTAAATTAACGCAATTTAAAGGATTACTTGGTGTCACTGAGGACATGTGCAAATATACAATACGAGGGAAAACACATAAGCTTAAACCACTTTCACGGCAGTAATTTGATCACATATCTGAGCCCTAGTGACACTAACCTAGTGAGACAAATGAGCATGTCAGTGACTGCACACTTGAGGTTAGGAATAGTCCTAAATGCCTCGCATACTTAGGGCCAGCAGCATGAGCTGTTATTTACTCTTCCTCCATCAATTAACCTTCAGCAGATCTCTGGCTAGCAGATGAAGTAAACTTCAAATCAAAGCTTAAGTAAAAAGATCGTAAAATATTTAATCAGTCTTTAATATTTGATTTACTAATTCTTAGTCAGACTTCTTGCTTAACCTGCTGTAAACCCCAGTCTAGCCTAATAGTCCGAGCACCCCCAGGGACCAGTCAGCCTAGGAGATGTTCATTAAGGTGCAGAGCAGAGTTCCTCAGTGGAGGATGCCAGGCATGCCAGACCTAGATCTGGTCCTGTATTTTGAAATTCCTGTACCTAGGAGAAGGATCATAAGGAGAATATTGAAATGGGCAGTATTTTTAATCCGTGGCAATTGCTGATACATTAGCTGTACTGTACCTCACAAACTGCAGGCTAGACAACTGTTTTTCCAGGGATTAGGGAGCTTCTCTGTGACTACCAGCTATTGAGTTATTCCCATAGTGGTTAAAAGCAAACAAACAGAACAGAATGAAGCATGCCTATACAAATGTCTCATAAGCAGGACCTATTTTATAGAGACAAAGTAATCCCTTCCTCTGTTTCTAACCTATAAAGCCCTTATGTCTAAAGCTGTAATTCTTTATGATAACCTGAAGTCAGAGAAGATATATGTTGAATTTGCTTGTTTTGAATAAGAGGGAAATAATCAGGAAAGAGGAGACAACTGGGTGCTGAACCAGACCTTAAACTCTCACTAGAATAAGATTCTTAATATAAACTCTGTGAGTTTCAATGTGGCTTGATTATCCAATTATTTTAGGTTTTAGTTTCTGCCCTCAGGGATTTCAGTCTTGAAAGCCTGACTGATTTCACAGTCTTACATGGTAGATACCTTTCTCTCCAATAATGAATGGAAACTAGGAGACAGTATTAAGCTGTTCAAATATACAAGTTCAAACTAGTACCCTACAAGTTTCCTTTAAATATTCTCTCTTCCTTGGGGAACCTTGGCCAGTATTATAATAAGGGCCACTGCTAATGGCCTTGAGATCTATCTCATTATCCTGTGGAGCTCTGAATTATTATTTCACTTGACAATCCAGTCTTGTCCAGGTTTGAATAATTGCCCAACTATCCCTTAAGTGAAAGAACAGTTCTTGCTGTTTAATATGATAGGGTTTCTTATATTTTTAGATTTTCTTAGGGACCTGATTTAAAACATGTTTTATTTCCCATAATTATCTTTCCTTTGGCTCTTACATGTATGCACATACATGTATGTATGTACATTTTATACTAGGTTCATGCAGAACTAGGTTTCTTCCTCAGCTGTTTCTAAATACACATAAACAAATAAGTTGCCAAAAGTTAAAGGCACTGCAAGTGTGCCGTATTATTTGCAATAGGTCAAGGGGTCTCACATGACTGAAAGAGTCATTTCCATGGCTTTGCAAAAAATGCATTTTGATAACAACTATGATATAAAACAGATAAGTCATTCTCCAGTGTTACAGCTATTTTTTACCTAGTTCCATTTATACTATTTGTAAGAAAATTTGTTTATGGATTAGAGAATCTTCTTGGTCAGAATGGGTTATGTTCTGTAAACAGAAGTTAACTACATGATCTTATTACTTAGTGAATTTGTAAACTTGTTACATTACAAGAGACAGAAATGAAGTTTCAAAGGAATTATTGCTTTTAACAATGGATGAAGAACTGTAGAGCTGCCTTGTGAAATGCATGGGGTCTTTTACCATACACAATGAACAGGAGTTTTGGGAGGTGTCTGCTTAGACCTGTAGTTTCCCTTTGGATAGTATTAATGCCAAATACTCCTAGCTGACTTCAAAAGCCATGGCACCTTAACACAGACATGTAACCAAATATTTTAGGACAGAACTAACCCTTGTTTTCCATCCATGTCCTAAATCTTGTTCTAAAAGCTGAAGTGCCAGAGCAATTAATAAAGCAGAATATTCAGAAACATGAAGATGTTAATTGTAAATGTATTCAGTGAAAATACGCTGAAAATGGCTTCTTCAGAAAATACAGAGTTGCAAAGAATATTTAAACTGATTTTCAGGATCTTCAGGCTACATGATGTGGCCAGCACAAATTGTCACTTGTACAATGTGCCTGCAGGGAAGAGAGAAAATCATCCCTTAAATTTCTGACACAAGGTGCCAGTGTCCTGTGCTATGGCACAGTGGCAGAGACCAGTGTCTCTGTGCCTGCCAATCCAGCTGAGTAAAACAGAGAGGAATTAATCAGTCTGATGAAGGACTGGAAGAAATTTGTTTCCTTGCAGAAACTGAGTAACTGAAATGTAGTCCTTGTCTGTCTCCTGATGCAGTATGCTTCCTGATATTCAAGATTTGTAAAACCAAAACTGAGCCCTTGGTGGATACCTATGTCATCATGTGGAACATAAACATTCCAGCTTGGACTCTGAGATCTATACACAATTGGAAATACAGTCCCTTCATAAATTTGATATACTTCGAAGCATAGTTTCTAACGCAAAAAATGAGGAAAATACAATACTTTATTGCATTACTTAATCCTGCAGTGTAAAATTAACCATGGATATCATGGGGTTTAATTTGTGGATGTTAATGGAAAATACTGATGTTCGTTTCCATAGTATTTGTGTTCTATAACTCTTTGGTTTGCAGTCCTTAACTAGTGGGAAAAGAAAGCAGATGCTAATTAGTGTTCAGAGTGTAATGACTGTAGAAACATAACAATATCAGAAATAAAATCTAAATGTTAATCCTTGTAACACTAATTTCTTAACACTTCATTTTCAAGCATCAGCAAATAGCATGAACTAAACAATAACAAAACTACAAAGGAATACTGTTGCATCATCACTTATTGATTGCATCTTTCACACTTGACTTTATTGCATTGGAATTCTCATTAGGCCTCAGACAATATTTACTTTCCTTAATCATGAATAGTAACAAGGCAGAGTACAACATTTTGTCAATAACTATCAACTTTTTCTTCAGAAAAGGCTGAATTTTCAAAGGGATTTCAGCTTGACCTGCATTTCTGTGAGTGCACCTAGTTCCACACATGAAGAGTGCTTAAATTCTTCATGTAACCTAACATTTGTTATTCTAGTAACATTAGTTAAAGAATATTGTGTGATGAAGACTCTAGAAAACTTCTTTTCCATTCTCTGCCTTGCACCAGAATACATGGCCTGTGTAACATTAGGAGAACCTCCCTTTTGTCTAGAAAGGTAGAGATAAATAGATCATTAAAATTATATGTAAAATTGTATGGTGTGTCTGTGTGCA